AATGCAGCACCCTGTTTACTGGTGGGCTTTTCCAGAGTACCTGCACTAAAGTGAAGATCATGCAACACAAATGGCAGCATCTGCCTCCTGCCCAGTTAAAGAAAATGGTCCTTAAGAGCACCAAGCCAGGCTTACTGTCTCCTCTACAGACACCAAAGCACCATTTCTCTCCTCCTGGGGAAAGCAAAGCAAGGAAGACCAGGCAAACCACTTGCTCCCAGTTGCACACTTCTCAGCAGTGAGGAGGAAAAGACAGATCCTGCAATCCCTGGGCTCATCCACAGCATCATCTCTCACCCCTGTGCTCCTGAAACACCCAGCCCTGATCCAGAGCTCCATTCAAACGCCTCTTTGAAGACTACCCCAGCCACACCAGCTGAGCAGCTATTTGCCCCTTCAGGTCACTGGCCCTATTAATGTACGTTCTGACATTAACGATGAACCTTAATTACAGAAAGTACTTCCTACAGGAAGTAATCTCCTCCTCTTTGATGACTGATAACCAGTTCAGGAAGCCTGGCCTTGAGACAAAGGCTGGGGGAGATACGCTCCGTGGGTTAGTCAGGCAGCACCATTAGCACAGGGGAAACACGTTTGCTCAGCTGCAGTTGCAAAACGGCAATAAAGGGATCCATTATTTTATTCCATCCGACACCTCCGGCGACGGCACAAAGAGCGAGGCTACCGTGCCCTGCTACACCTCTGGGCGCGGGCGCACGCCTCGGTTTCGGCAGTCCCTGGTCAGGGTGATGACCCTGCCCCCATCAGTGCATCAGCACAGCCGATTCCCAGATGGCACATCCCCAACGGACCCACCCGAGAGCAGATACTCACACACTGCTGTCCGTCATCGACATGGAGTCGTCCGTCAGGGCATCGCTAGATATCTCGCTATCGTTCGCGCTGGTTGCTGGGGCAAAAACATAGCCAGAATTCACATGGTATGGGTTAACGGGATCGTTCCTCTTGAAGGACCTAGGGACAAGCAAAATGGGAATGTAGTTACCAGCCTTGGGCTAGAGGAAAGCACACAAGTTTCACGGTAGCGCCCTCCTTACGGAACCACGCACAGCGCCTGCTCAACGCAACCACCCATCGCCGGACCCGCAGCACCCGGGACACGCTCCCTAAACACCGCCGAAGCCCAGCGTTACAGACGTCGCTGTTAGCACTGGAAGCACGCTTCAGAAAATCCCAGGAAGCACCTCTGCGTGCTCTGGTACTTTCCAAAACTTGGTCTTTGGAGCTTGGTGCTGCACCGCTGAGGGCAGCGGGAGTCTGGCATGGGCAGTTCATAGCTCAAGTCCCACTGAGCACCACGGAGGCACCCGCTAACCAACACTTAAGCCCAGGCTGAAGGCAGAGGGAGGGCCCCTCTGGGAGTGCACGCGGGCCTCCCAAGGATGGGTGCCATCTTCCTGCAATTATAAAAACACAAGAAGGCCCAGTTTTCAGGAGAACCCGCTATGTGTTCAGTTTGTGGGTTTGTGTGGAGCTGGGCGGGGAAGAGGAGGAGAGGGATGCGAGGGCAGGAGCAGCAGGTTGTACTAACGGGCGCGCAGGTTACCAACACCTTTGGTTTCCCTGGGAGAAGCAATCCCAAAGCCCAGCCTGGATGTGTGACTTGAGTACCCAAGAGCAGCCCCATGAAACATTCACGGGCCGTGACATGGGCTGCAGGGACACGACTGGCAGGGCCACAGCACAGAGCCGGGGAGCCAGGACCCGGGCATCCCCCCACCCAGTACCTCCCATGACTCCAACTTCCCAGCCAAGATCAATACACATCCCTTGGCAGGCGATAAGGGGATTATGCAGGGAGGTTGGAGAGCTGCATGCTAAGGTGCACATTTTGTTCCTCTCGCAGGGAAAGATGGGGTTGTTAAGCTTCCGCCTTTGTATATCAAAGCAAAGGGCCTTGTCATCTGATAAGGACTGCTGATTTTAATAATTAGGGCCACTTACCCAGGACTTGGGGGCCTAAGGAATGTGCCAGCAGGCTCCGCAGGTTTCTTTTAATGGGCTTTCCACCTCCCTGCCCCATGGGGAGGGGGTCAGAGGGGACCATCTGGGCCCCCCTCTGCACCCCTGGCCCAGGCATCCTGCACCCCACACTCCTGCTCTGCCAGCACCAACGGCAGCAGCCTCCACAAATACCGAGGGGTTGGGGTTTCTTAAAAATGGGGAAAAATGAAAAAAAAAAAAGGAGGGGGAAGCATGGTGGGGAAGATCGGCCTCTCTGGTATGAGAGGCGTGGGGCTGGCTGCGGGCAGGTATTCAGCCCAGCCGGGGCTGCATTCCTTTCCAAAGGAGGCCAAGGCATTTCTGATGGGGAGATCAAGATGTTAAAAAATATATATCTGGGAAGAAGGAAAAAAAAAAAAGAGAGATAGTAAGGAATGCCACAGGAAAGAAGTTAAATCTTCAAAGATAAATTAATTCCACATGTGGGTGAAAGCTAAGTTCTCCTCCTCCTACTACAGAAAAGTTCCTCTAAAAACCACGTAACGTTCTGCTCTGACGCAGGGGGATGTGCAGCCCAAGCGACCCCCCCTGGGTCCTTGGTGGCTTCCGGGTCAGCTGTGTAAGGGATGCAGCTCTTGGAGCTATTCGATTTGACACCGTCGAGAGCACATCCGAGGCCCACGAGGCTCGGGGCGCAGGATGCTCCCCAGCACAGGACCCCCGCCTTGCTGGGAGGTGTCCTGTCACTCCTGGCTGTGTCCAGGAGAGCTGATTTCCCATGTTCTTCCAGCAGAAGGATTGCTGGAGATGCTGGGAGAGGGGGGCAGAGGCAGTGGGTCCCTATCAATCTGGCACTGGGAGCAGAGGTGTGTCCAAACACAGTGTTTGGAAAGATATAATTAGAGAAAGTGCCTAGAAATAACTCATCTTCCCATCAGTACTGGGCTGCCCCACCGAGTCACCTACCAACACCTCATGGACAAACAAAAAAAATCCCTAAAGCTGACATATCTTTAAAGTAAGCCTCCAACACACTGCCCCACAGAAACCCCCACAACCTTTAAGAAAACCAGTGGGGGCTGTTGTGCTATGCTTAATTTTTTTTTTTTTGAATTTGACCACCTTAGTACAGTAATTACACCCAGATGCACCAAGTTGCCTACGAGGGTTTTAAATTCCAGTGGAAAGCGGTGGTCTCCCGCCGCAGATGCTGCACACAAACACACAGCCCCGCTCCAAACTCCATATGCAAAGTGTTTTCAGCTGTCAGGTAGCAGTTGCTCTGGAGCTTCAAGGAGAATGTCTGATGTTTCTCAGCCTATTCTTATCTTGACGCGATGACACGCAGCGTGTAACTCAGTATATGCTATGTTAGGCAGTGGGCATATCAGAGGTATTACAATGCCACGAAAATTTTGGGGGCTCTTGCTTGTATCCCCTTGTTCGGAGGGTGCAATTTCAGAGTGTGGGGATTGGTTTTTTGCTGTTGTCAAACTCTGCTTCTTAGAAATAAAAGCACTCTTGGAGTTCAAACCACAGATGTATACAGAGAGAGAAGAAAATTTGCAAGGAGCATTTTGAGGCAAAATTGAATCTCATTAAGTATTTTCTTGGGACAAACATCACTGGGCAATGTTTAAAAACAACAAAAAAAACCCCACGCATGCACAAACCTGAAAAAAAAAGTGTATTTTAACAAAACTATGTTAATCACAGCTTCCATGCTCTAATTGCAGAACACTGCTTCGAGCATAGCTTTACAATGGCATCATTTACTTTGATAATTGAAGCCAAACTTGGTTCCAATAACTTCTCACACAAGAGGCTCCACCGGCGGGTCCTTTCAAAGGCCAGGAAGCACTGGGAGCCGGCAGCAGGCCATCTGCAAGCCCCAGCCCTCCCCAGGCAAGGCCAGCCCCAGTGATGTTAGAGCTTAATGGGAGGCAGATGAGTCCACCTTGGCCCGAACAAACCCACGTTGCACTGCAGAGGAAGAAGCGCTCTCTGTGTACACAAAGTCGGGCGTGATAAATTTAGAAGCGCGTATAAATAATAGCTGGAATTCCCGGAGCATGGGGCCAGGTCCAGCGCAGCGTGGGGAGGCCACATTTAACCACATCACAACTCACAGGGGAGGGGAGTCACTTTGAAGGACAAGAGGGAGGTTCCACATCTAAAATATTCCCTGTTAGGGCTCCAAGTACACAACCAGCAGTTTGCACGCGTACGCCCATCTTGCAGCCAGGTGCAAACGCTGTTTTCACTTGACTTCTCCTGTTCATGTCCATCACTGACGCTGGGGCCAACGTCTTTCCACCTGCACCGTTTCCGTGGCTTCCCACTGGCCGTGGTTTTGGCCGTGACTCCGTGCCCTGGGATTCCCAGGTGGTCTCCCATCCAAATACCAGGCTGGCCCAAGGCAGCTCTGCTCCCACCATCAGGGACGCTCAGCCCAGCGCTCCCAGCTTTCTCTGGGATAATCCCATCGCAACCCACCGAAGCGAATGGCAAGAGCCTGCCCAGCGCTTCCAAACCATCCCGCGCCGAGCCGAAGTTCTTTAATTCCATCACAGACACACGAGGAGGGAGGTGTGGTTTGGCCACTCACCAGGAACAGACTTTGTGCAAGCTTCAGCTCCAATCCTAAACGCAATCCTAAAGGCTGAGTGATGAGAGAGAACCCATCCACATGCCCAGCAGCTTCTCGCACATGCACACACAGTGGCTTCACAAACGGGGCGCTCAGGGAGGAACTGAGCAGCAGCTCAGCTTGACCTCCCTCTCTTTGCACTGAGATCCCTTGGCCCCATGGAGAGCAAAAGCTCCTGGAAATTCAACAGAAGGTGATCAAAGCAAAAGGCACTACCTAATGTCCTAGGAGGGCAGATCTGACGTGTGAGGAGAAAGCTGCATTAATCCCTGGACAAAAAAAAAAGAAAGGGGAAAAAAAAGAAAGGGAAAAAACCCCAGCACTAATCAGGCAAACAGCCGTGGTTCTGCGAGAGCTCTCCCGGACCAGGCACATGTGGGTTTTAGCAGGGCCTGCAGCTCTGATAGAACATTACAGCCAAGCCCTTCCAGCACGGAATACCAACAAAGGCTCAGAGATAAAAGCATCAAACATCCCCCTCCTGGAAAGCGAGCGAAGGGCAGCAGTTCAAACCAAGTTCTGGAGAACAGCAGATGCTCAGACAGCAACACGCAGGCACGAGATGAGGATCCCAAAGCCCAAGTCCTCCACAGAGCAGCTGCCAGCGCGTGCCCCCCCCGCAGACACCCAGCAGGAGAGGTCCAGAGGCCAGGGAGCGCATCCCTCCTGCCTGCACCAGCCCCTCATCCCTCCGCTCCAGGGAAGGCTTCCAGGGGAGCACCGCAGAGGCCTCGGGCTCAGCAGCACCCTCCCAGGCCAAGGGACCCCCCCAGCTCCCGGCTCAGCACCGGGAAGCTCTCCGCAGGGCAGGAGAGGAGGGTGCTCCAGCAAAGCCTCCCCAGGAGAAGCCTGATGCCCTCTGATGTCCATGAATCACAGACACGCTCTCCCAATTCCGGTAAAGATGTCAAACACTCACCACACCAAACCCAACCTCCGGAGCAGAGAGCGCCCATCTGCCAGCGCAGCCCTCTCCCCTCAGCCCCCCTCACGGCAAGGGTGGGGAGAGGAGAGAATACGTTTTCAGAGGATTATACAACTCATCATTTGCTCATCAGAGTCTCTCCCATCCCCCCCCCCTTCACTTGGAGGTGTCTCTCGCTTTCCTCAGCCGCGCACCGCCGTGCCACCAACGTCCCCAACAACAGGGAAGGGTTGGGAACGCAGACGCATCCCAAGACAAGGGTGCAAGACCCTGCCGCCACGCAACGCGCCCCACGCCAGCTGCCTCCGGGCACAAGCGCGTGCAAACGAGCCCAACCTGGAGCGCAACAAGAGCGCGCCGAGGGTCTGCAGGGGAGCACCGGACACCCCTGCTGCGCTCGGCCTGGAACATGGCCATTACCTTCAGCACCCGAGTAGCCTCCTGCACGCGCTGGCTCAAAGCCACCCTCAACGGCTTCGACACGACACGACACCCAGCGCGACGGGGCAGGCTGCACATCACGCGCACGCGGGGTCAAGGCAGGAGCCGATGCCGTGCGAGCGGCAGTTGGATGGAGCGAGCGCACGCGCTGCCTCCTCCATGGCCACACAGCCGGCGCGGTGGGCTTGGGCAACTAGTAGGTTACATCACTCATGCGTCTACGGGATCCACTCTACTACCGCTCTTAACAGGTTTGAAAGTTGGGGCAGTAACTAACGTGTGTCCGGAGGACATCGCTGCTATGAAGTTTTTGATCTGTAAGAGAACCCAAAGAGCCAATGGGGCTGGAGAGCACAGTATCTTGTTTTCCTCTGGACAGAGGGGGAAAACCCCCAAATCCAGTCAACAGCCCCCAAATTTCAGCGTGTGGAGAGGCAGGGAAGCACCCATGCCCTCCCCGCTCCTTCCTGCTAGCTCCCCAGCACACCACCCCACCAGCCCCCCAAAAAGCACTCCCAAAGTCCTTAAAGTCGAAACAAAGCAGAGTTCCCAGGGGTTCCCTTACCTGTATCCGTTCTCCATCGTTTCCGTAGCTCGGACGCTCGCCGTAACCCTCAGCGTCTTGCTGGATAGTCCAACTACCGAAGGCAAGAGTTTGTTTTTGAAGTCTGCACAGCTCCACTCCTCTTCTTCATTCAAGGTCGGGAGATAGCCACAGACAACTTTTAAGCTCCCCAGCCCGTTGCTGTTGATGTAAGCGGGATTCTCTCCTCCACTCCTCACATACTCGAGGTATATATCAGAAGTTAAAAACATCTGGTAAGCGTTCTCCTCCATCACAGTCTGAATCTCAGTCTGCGCCTGATCAAACATGACAGAATCTATCTGCTGCTTCTTGATGCTGTCCCTTATGTAGGTCTTGGTCGCAGGCTTCAGCTGCTTGGAGACGACGCTGTTGTTCTCGATGTACCTTTTGTATATAGCTTTGGCGACGCGTGAAGTTTTGGTATCCTTAAGGTCCATCTGCCTGAAGCCATTGCAGGCAAACCAGAAGTCTAAGGTATCCACACATTTTTCCCTTTCCAGGAAGGTCCGAAAAAGATAGGCACCATCTTGATCTCCCAGCAAGGAATGCAGGGATTTGGTCCATCTGGCCAGCGGGGAGTCCGGCGACGCGCTGCCTTCCGGCTCCCCGAGCCCGTTCTCGTTCCTCCGCGGGGCGGGCGGCAGCGGCGCGGCCTTGAGGCTTTGGCGTCGGGGCAGAAACGCGCTGCCGAGGTGCGGGCATGGTGCTTCTCCCTCC